CTATGTGCCACCCAAGAAAACCATTGGCGCTCTCCAGGGTAGAAAGACTTCATGTCTAAAAAAATCTTTTACAAGGTACAGGGGAAGGAAAACAAGTCAACTTTACAATGGTTGAGTATGAGGTTGCTTAGGTCACAATTTTAGAGAGGAGGCAGAGATGATGCCCGCTATAGTACACCCCAGAAATACAGCGGAATCCATGCTGACTAGCCTAAAGCAACCCAGGAGCTCAGTGTTTCAGTGGTGTAGAGTACAAGATCTTTTCACTGCATCTGTATGGTGACTGGTCTTTTCACTGCATCTGATAGGTCCCTGACCCTCACTTAGCAGGTACTATTGCAACACTAAGAACATTCAGACAAATGGAATGAATGGGCAAATAGGGAAGGTAAGCATGCAAGAAAAGGCCTTGTCTATAACAGGCTTCAATGTGAAAATGCTTGAAATTAAAAAGCTGTGCACCCTGGCACATGCAAAATTAATTACACACAAAATTGCATCACCAAAGGAGGAACAATATCTGAAGTGCCACCCACATGCAGTTTTAAAACATTTCAAAGGGCATTAAACAAGACTGGCAGAGAAATTTCTGATTGAGGGCAAAACAGGCCTGACAAAAGGCAGCCTTGTCAGCCTGCTGGAAAAGGTAACTGTTAAAAATAGGCCAAAGAGCCAATTATTGAGCACGCACATCAGGTGTTTGCCTGCAGCAGGCAACACACCCAGAAAGCACTGTCAAAAGGCCTCGATACAAGCAGGAGAGCTTCCCTGCCCTGCCTGCAACAACACGCAGGAGCAGGAAGGGAACTGTTTTACCAGAAGACAGTGTGACATTGGTGAGATGACAGTATCCAGCTAATATTTTGGTATTCTGTTCTATACTTTGATTTTTAAGCATTTTGAGGCAGTACCAGTCCTTTTGTTGCAGGTGCCGTGCATAGCACAGGGAGGTCTCGGTCAATGATTAAGTGCTACACAATACAAATAATAATCTCTGACTTCCAGTTAATTATTTTTCTAGGTCATCATTTCAGCTGGGACAGACAGGGAAGTAGTGAGCTCTGCCCTTCAAACCTCCTCTCCCAGCCTTCGTCAGCACCAGGAGTGGGAGCGCTGTCCTTGCCTTTCACCTGGGGCACCCGCTGCTTTTCAGTTTAAACTAGTTTCTGTCCAGTGCCCTCTAAAGCAGTGACTCTCAACGTTCCCCGTTTATGGGACCCTTTCAGGAGTCCGATCTTGGGTACCCCCAAGTTTCACCTCACTTAAAAACTACTTGCTTACAAAAAATAAAAATAAAAAAAGATAAAATTGACAACACTATTACAGAAAAATTGCTTTTTTAAAATGTTAACCATATAATAAATCAAAATTGGAATATAAACATTATACTTAGTCATTGTACGAAATGTTAGTTTGCAACAACTTTGCTAGTGCTTTGTTGTAAAACTTGGCAAATATCTAGATGTGTCGATGTACCCCCTGGAAGACCTCTGAATATCCACAGCTGTACAGATATCTTCAGTACTCAGCATTCAGCTTTTGCGCAAAATCGTGCCAATGTAGACACAGCCTGTGTGTTATTTTTCATTAGCAGCAGGAGCACTCAGGAACTCGGGTTGGCCCTTTTTGACATTCCTTTCTTTGAATGCCATAAAAGTTTTGTTGGGCACAAAAAGGAGCGAAGGCAGAACTACAAATGTGAATTATTGGACATTTTATACAGATGTGTCACCTGCTGTGATGCAACTCTCACTCCAATTCACGCTCTCTTTTAAATTCACGTCTCACTGACACTCCCTACATATGGAAAAAGGGAAAGCCAACTACTCCTAACAGCAGGCTAGACTCATCCTAAATCACGGGCTGGGACCCTAAGGCTCGTGGGGCCCGCTATAGCTCCTGGCTTGCCCCCACAGTTCAGGGCTCCTCCCAGCATTGGGGCACCTGTGTTGGCACTTCAGCCCGTTGCTGCCCTTCCACAGGGCTGGAACACACAATCTACTCAGCTGGTCTGCGCCTCCCCCCAGGCTCTGGTGTGTGAGGGGAATATGGGGAGTATCTTTCTCCTTCTGTCAGGGGCCACGTCAGTGAGGGTTTGGTTTTTGTTTTGCTTCTCACTTGTGTGTGGACCCCTAATTGATTTTTCTGTGGGTCAGCGCCCCCTGGCCCAAAAAAGGTTCCCCACCTATGTCCTAAAGAGAAGACATAGGGCTGGCCTGTCATTGGCTAAAACAAGAAGGCTGTGTCTACACTGGCGCGATCTCGCACAAAAGCAGCCACTCTTGCGCCAAAACTTGCTGCCTGTCTACACTGGCCGCATGTTCTTGCGCGAGTAAACTGACCTTCTAATGTATGAAATCAGGGCTTCTTGCGCCAGAACTCTGACGCTCCCGCTCAGTAATAAGCCCTCTTGCACAAGAGCTCTTCCAGAAAAGGCCAGTGTAGACAGGCAACATGAATTTCTTGCACAAGAATGCCCTATGGTTAAAATGGCCATCGGAGCTTTCTTGCGCAAGAAAGCGTCTACACTGGCATGGATGCTCTTGCCCAAAAGCACATGCCAGTGTAGACGTTCTCTTCTGGAAGAGTTTTTGCAGAACAACTCTTCCGCAAAAGAGTTTTGCGTGAGAACACGCCAGTGTATTTGAGATAATACAAGTGAAGCTTGGCGATTCTTAGATTGAGTTCTTGTATGGCTCCATTTGCAAAATGGAAGCAGGCTCCTAGAAAGGCATTCCCAGCTCACTAGAGCCAAGGAGAGAAAGGATCCCTTCACTGTATCCCATTTACCTCCCATTGCCACTACTGGCTAGGTTCTACTCTATGACTTATTTATATTACTGTAGCATTTAGCCTACTGATGGACCAGAGCTTTGCTGGGCGAGGTGCTGCACACACACAGAACTGAAAGACTCCTGGCCCCAAAGTACTTATTGTTGCCTCAAGCTCATATTTTTTCCCCAGTGTATGTGACAAGGATTTGAAGACACCTTTCTAGTCCAAAGCCACATTAAACTCTGCTAAACCCTAATGCCGTTTAAAAAAAGATTATAATTCTTGCTTTTTACAGCATCTTTTTTTAAATAAAGAAACCCCCCACACACAGTAAGAGCTGAGAGAAGGTTAAGAAGTGACTTGATCAGCTACATGCAAAAAAAAAAAAAAAAAAAAATGTTTCTGACAGTTAAGGGTGTAATGAGTTCAAAAGCTTGGATGCTAAGCTAGACAACTTCCGAATAGAAATAAGGAGCTGTTTTGGTTTTTAAAGAGCCTGTTGGAAACCGAGATGTAATAGTGTCGTCAATTAACCAATAAGAAAAAGCTTTAGGTTAATGCTATAGACTACACACATTTCCCCCCCCCATTCTCTTGCCAGTAAATTTTTTATCAGGCTATCCAGCAGCTTGGCTCAGTCCTGGCTTGTGCCAAGTCTGAGATCTACCCCCTGCTGTGGATCTGGATTTAGAGTGCATTAAGGAGGGCAGAACCTGGCTCAGTTCCAGTTCATGCTAGGTCCAGGAGCTCAGTCATTCCTTCCCCCCTTCATGCTAGGTCCAGGAGCTCAGTCATTCCTTAATTCCAGACAGGGACTGCTGCCACTCTGCACTGCTGCTGGCTCCGTCCCCAGGGACTATAGAATAGACCACTAATCAATAAGAATTCATGATAACCTTATTGATATTTAACAACCCTAGTTGGAAACACTGGAACAACCTACAAAGGGATGGGATGGATTCTTCATGATTTGAAAAACATTTAAATCTTTAAAAACAAGAATCTCTCCCTCTAAAAGATATGATCAAACATAAAGGCTTGATACATAAGTGAGGTTCTATGACCGGTATTATGTAGGTCACAATGGATCACTACAATGGTTCCTTCTGGCCTTAAAGATAAATGTGTGATTAACAAATTAATTTAATGGTAAGTTAGCAGCCAGTGAATGGTTTTTATTTAAAAATGATATTTCTCTCCAATTGTTTACGGATACTAACATGACACCATACTGCCGCTTACACACAAGTGTGCCTATTAAAATGCAAAATAAAACTTTTCCAGGTGAAATTTAACTGTCTCCCAACTATGCCTTTCATCACATTTCTGCAGAGGTTAGCTTATCTAACGGCACGCTGTATTTAAAAACCTAATGACAGTCAATGTATCATGCTCAAATAAAATCTACAGAGACTTCTTGCAAAATTATATAAATAAATGTGAATGACAAAAGTTTATTAAACGCATTTTAAAAAAATTATATCTTTCTTAAATAAGGATCTCTCAGTAAGGATTTCATTGTAAAACAGTTTTGAAGCAATTCATAAGTTACTTTATTTAATAACAGGTTGCTCAATAAAAAAAGTCATTTACTTATATACTGTAGTCTTCAAACCAGCCATTATTTAGACAAATGCACTGCATGTACTTATGGTATTGTCCATCACACACTAGTTAATATCAATGCAGCATAGCTGGACAAAAAATAGCTCCATTTTGTCGTTGTAAACATTTAGATTAAGTGGCAGGCAAGATGTTGTATCAGTTCTTAGATCTTCCCCCTCTCCCCCCCAAAAGCTTGTCATTTAGTGCACGTTTTATTCAGGACTTAGCATTCCATATTTTTAGAAGTCTAGAAATAAGTTTTACAAACAATAGACTAAAACAATGCATGAGAAGATTTAGTCATGGCAATTTCACTGGAACTTTATTGCCTCTGTTGGTAATGAGAGGGATTTTGTAAGAAATTACAGTTGAACTTACAGAGATATGCAGATGATGTTCTTTACTAATATAATCTTGATCTTATATGTTTTATATCAGGGCATGTCTAATCTTGTACATTTTTAATGTATAGCAACATAGTTTACAATTTTATGTGTTTAACCAATTGTTGACATTTGGCGAAAGGAAACTGATCCATTATGGGGAGATCATCATCAAATTGAGGACGTAAGCACTTCTGAATTAAAGCAATCCAAGTAGGTAACAGTTTGAATTCTTTAAAAAAAAAAAAAACAAAAACAAACCTCACACGCATATATAAAGGAAGAACACATGGCCACATGTCTGAGCACTTTTCAATACAAAATATTTCCTGTAACCAGGCATTTATCCTTAGAATAACCACACTGTTAAATCAAGCTTGTTTCCAACTTAAAGTCATTTGTTTTGTAAATTCTAAGATGCCATTACAGCATGAATAAGCTTAACTTTTCTGCTACATAATTATCCAAAGCTTTATGTAATGAATGTATTTTTGTTTTATAATTACACAGTAATTATAAGTGTGTAGTACCAAACTGATGACAACACTATTCTCTTGAAAAGATCTTGCATTCATAAGGAATATTCTTTAAAAATACCATGGCATTATGCCACTAACCAATATCAGATTTTTGTGAAGGTCATATCTGTATTGGGGTAAAAGCTAATTAGAGCTCATCTCAAAACACAGCATACTTGAACTAATCAATCAAATCAATCAATCTGAAAGTGTACCAAAACCCTTAAGACAGAAAACGGCACGCATATACACCTTGTAAAGTTTTCATAATTCAAGTCCCCCATTTATAATATTTACACAAAATTGAAAGAGGAAATACTGAAAGCAGCAAAACAAAAAACTTGGCATAGCCAATTCGAGTAGCTGGAGTAAAAATTTGCAACACATTTTGTAGAACTGTAGTCTTGAAATAAATGCATGAATGGGCTTTATTAAAAGGGCACTGATATGAGGAGAGCCTTTCCTTTAGTCAACTTCAAAGCACACAGGATAAAAATTTTAGCAATTTAATACTTAAATCCTTCCTAAAATCTTTTTAGCATCTGCATAAAAGTGTACTGCTGTTTTAGTGCAAGATCCACTTACTAATTTCAACAGTAATTACACCCTTAATGTGGGACTGGCTGGAGTATTCAAATAAGTACCCCCCTATTCCTAATAATTACTATAATCATTTTTTAGACATCCTACTTTGACATTTTCTAGCTTGTTTTACAGAAGGTTTTATTTCAAGAAAACAATAACCACTTCCTCATAAGTCAGCAACTGAAGAGTGAAAAAACATTTTCAGGATGACAGCAGTTCAAGACTCCTGTAATGTTAAAAAACACACAAGATAAAATCCTGCTTTGAAGTGAAAACAGTTCCAATTTAGTTATATGCAGTGAGACAAATAGTAGTAGTAGTGATCAACAAAATAATGTAAGGAAACAAAAGCAGCCAGTGTAGTATTCCGCATCTGTACTTGTTTAAGAAAGTTTTACTTTCAACATTTGTAACTGGGAACCACAGTGGCCTGTGGAAATCTCAACAAAATAAGTAATTGAGAAAATGGGCTTTGTCCATAAAGGCAGTTCCTTTATGTTGTAAAAACGTAACTTTACGTGGCCTGAGATAATCACTTCAAAACTCAGATTTGATCACATTTGCCACCCCCTCGTATAAAGCAGGTTCCTTTGTTATTTCATACTGCAACCATCAAAACCCATGCCTGAATTGAAAATACTGTATTGTGTACAAAACATAAGACACAAGTTCAGTATATTGTTCAAGTTTTAGATTTCCACAAAAACGAAAACACCTTCCTGGACAGACAAACAAGCATTTCAAAACTGCAATGAAATCTGACATATTGGATAATCTAGAGAATATTAGATTCTGTTATGCATGTAACTTGTCTCAATGACGCTCACTGGAGGCTGACTATAATATTAAACCAGGGGTGCTATAAGTGCACAGTAGTTGTGTGACTCCAAATCTTTTCAAAGATACAATAAAACCTTTTATATAGGCACCTAGATTTCAGAGTATCAACATTCTTGGTTTTGTTGGTTGTTTCTACAATTGTTTTATATCAGATACTCAAAACTTAGACAATACCTGTTATCTGCCATGAAAGGAAACAAATATCGGACCTAGTACACTTAAATATATCACTCTTATAGGAAGTGCTAACAGTATAGTCTTTGCACCTAGCCCCAAGTGTATATTTAAGGCATTTAAAAAAAACATTTCTAATGTTGATCTGTATAATGCAGATGCCAAACAACGGTTTGTCTCATGAAGACAGCATTGTGCTTTATGCAAAACCAGAAATCTCAAAATAATCATCATAAAGCTTCTAAGACTTATGGGAGAGTAAACAAAGGTGGTCCACAAAAATATGATGAAATCCACTATGTTGGAATTATAACTGGCAAAAGTGGTTCAGACTAGAAGACAAGTCCGAACCACCATTAGATGAATGAATGATATGGTCCAAGATGTATCCTTAAAGATTTGTCTCAACCCTCAACCTGTAAAGAGAGGATTGATCTTCAGTTCAGTCCAGCCAGCAGAAATTGACTGTGCAATTTTCCGATGTATTTATTTGTACAGTCTATGTACATTCTAGAAGGGTCCTTTAGTGCTACACTGTCGTACTTTTTGTCCCAGCAATTTGAGGGCGTGCAAATTCCACAAAGTCATCAATTAGAACCGGCCATGCCCCTAAAGGAAAGAATAAGCAAAAGCAAATTAAAAAAAACCCACAACAGATCAACAAATCCTTTTTTAATGTAGTAGAGATATGCAATTTAAAAAAACCCTCTTCAAATCAAAATAGATACTTAATTTATCTTTCCTACTTAAAATGTACATGTATTATCCTCACTTGATTCTGTTTCTTAAGAGTTAAGACCTGATTAATATTTCCCCCCCTCAACTGAGGCCTCCCCTTGCCAACATACCATTTTAAAATACATCCAATTTTTCAAGTAATGACAACAGTCATCTTTATTTTTTTAACCTAGATAAGCTGGACAAAAACTCCTTTCAGAGTGAATTAAGATAATTGGCCAGAGTGGGCCGAGAATATGACAGCACCATCTCTACAGTGCTGGTCTCACCTGGCTAACCTAAATGGGAACCAAAACTCAAATCTGGCAAAGGAATGCTAAAAATTGTGAACAGCAAGACTGCACACACCAAACTACCAAAATAATTACAGCTCACAATATTTTATATTAATGTCATGTTCGTCTGCTGACATCAGCATGTGTCACTATTTTGAACAAAAATGTTGCTGCAATTGCAAATAATGTAGAGGCCTTGCAGATTAAATGATTTTACCTGATAAAAATATGGTGCATTCAGTGATTATCCAATTCAAAATAATAAATTCTTAATATGTTTTTCATTCTGTGTGTTCTCACCTTTACCTATAATGTCTGAAATGCTAACAAATCATTAACTGGTGGCTAATGAAGGTAAATATGATGGGGGGGGAGGGGGAAATCACTAATTGATTTGCCAAAGGAAACAAGAACTGGTTGATGAATTTATTTTTATTTAACTTAACAACATAAGAATGGCCATACTAGGTCAGACCAAAGGTCCATCTAGCCCAGTATCCTGTCTTCCAATAGTGACCAATGCCAGATGCCCCAGAAGGAGTGAACAGAACAGGTAATCATCGACTGATCTCTCTCTTGTCATCCATTTCCAGCCTCTGACAAACAGAGGCTAGGGACACCATTCCTACTAAGGATGTTAACTAACGAGTACTATACTAATCAAGGAGTTGATGGAATTTCTATCGACTACTTGACTAGCCGATAGGCATTTCTGCATTCCTCCTTTGAAATGTACAAGAGCCCCCGCTGGGGGATCTTAAAAATTTTAAAGGAGGAATGCGGAACTCTGCATGCAGCCCGGGGCCAGCGGGAAATCCTTTGAAATGAACTCTTGCCTCCCCCTCACTCCCGGAGGCTCTTGTGCATTTCAAACAGAAACACCAGCATGGAGGTTGGAGTCAGCGGGACTTTCCAAGGTGGCATGCCAGCTTTGAAATGTACAAGAGCCCCCTCATTTGGTGAACCCTAGTTCTTATGTTATGGGAACAATTAAATAACTTTTCCTTATTCACTTTTTTCACACCGGTCATGATTTTACAGACCTCTATCACACCCCTCTTTAGTCTCCTCTTTTCTAAGATGGAAAGTCCCAGTCTTTTTAATCTCTCTTCATATGGCACCCATTCCAAACCCTTAATCATTTTTGTTGCCCTTTTCTGAACCTTTTCCAGTGCCAATATATCTTTTTTGAGATGAGGTGACCACACCTACAGTATTCAAGATGTGGGTGTACCATTGTTTTATATAGAGGCAATAAGATATTCTCTGTCTTATTCTCTATCCCATTTGTAATGATTCCTAACATTTTATTTGCTTTTTTGACTGCTACGGCACACTGAGTGGATGTTTTCAGAGAATTATCCACAATGACTCCAAGATCTCTCTCTTGAGTAGTTATAGCTAAATTAGTCCCCATCATACTGTACGTATAGTTGGGATTATTTTTTCCAGTGTGCATTACTTTAAATTTATAAACATTAAATTAGCCATTTTGTTGCCCAATCACTTAGTTTGGTAAGATATTTTTGAAGCTCTTCACGGTCTGCTTTGGTCTTAATTATCTTGAGGAGTTTAGTGTCATCTGCAGATTTTTGCCACCTCACTATTTACCCCTTTCTCCAGATCATTTATAAATAGGTCGAACAGGATTGGTCCCAGTACAGACTCTTGGGGGACACCACTAGTTACCTCTCTCTATTCCGAAAAATTATCATTTACTCCTACCTTTTGTTTCTTTTTTTTTAACCAGTTATCAATCCACAAGAGGACTTTACTTCTTATCCCATGACAACTTTACTTAAAAGCCTTTGGTAAGGGAGCTTGTTAAAGGCTTTCTGGAAATCTAAGTACACTAAATCCATTGGATCTCCCTTGTCCACGTTTGTTGACCTCCTCAAATAACTCTAGTTGATTAATAAGGCATGATTTCCCTTTACAGAAACCATGTTGTCTTTTCCCCCAACAAACTATGTTAATCTATGGGTCTGACAATTTTATTATTTATATAGTTTCAACTAATTTGCCTGGTACTGACAGACTCACTGGTCTGTAATTGCCGGGATCACCTCTAGAGCCTTTTTAAATACTGGAGTTACACTACATATAGTAGAGTTGGAGACAATTTATTTTATGCAGGAAAGAGCTGATTTGGAGGGGAGGGACACAGGAGAGGAGATAAGACATTTTTAAAAAGTAACATACTGGCTTTGGGGAAGTGGCAGCACAAATATTTTTCACCTGTGCTAGTAAGTCTTAGTCCTCATCTGACTATGTGGCAAAGAACTTTTTCAAACTCAGAAAAAGTCACATATTGTTGTGCAGACGTTTTGACTGCCAGTCACTACAGATATATTATCCAGAGACACACTGCTCAATGTACTAGCCACAGAAATATTCATACACACTCAAACTGATTAAACAAAATATAAATATTACCTTCCTCATCATAATTGGACATATCATCTGCTATCATTGTACTGAAATCTAGAAGAAGGTTCCAGGTATCCTTAGGTATTGATCTTTTATGATGTTCCTATTTGAAAAAAAAATCTAAGTTTAAAAACCTTGAACAAAATTAATTTGAAAGTCTGAATATTCAATATTAAATTCTTGCATATATGCAAGTTAACCTAACCTCTGTTTTTCCTGCATTTGCCAAAAACTGTAACATACATGCATCACAAAAATGCTCTTTCGAAATAGGTTATATGATCTCTTCAAAAAGATTAAACACACAGATTCATCTTCCAAATGAAATAAACAAGCCAATTGCCGTCTCATTTATATTATACAAAAGGTTTAAACTTACCAATAAAAATTTGTTCCACAAGTCTAGGAACTTAAATCTTCCATTAAGTACTAAATTCCAGTAGGCAATGGCCATTTCTAAATCTGTAATATTAAAATATACGGAGATATACAGTTGAAATACACACATTTTCTCGACAAGTACTAGACTATAAATTAAAATAAAATTCACTTTTAATGCAGGAATATGGTGAGGTTCTAGGGATGTGCAAGGTTAACCGGTTTAATGCTTACCAGTTCCAGTTAACCAGTAACCAGCAGGTGTTGAAGCAGCTGCCTGCCTGCTGCAAGCAGGGGGCTGCTCCAGCCCTGCAGGGGGCGCGCTGTGGATAGGGGCTGGTCAGGCAAGGGCTGGGAGTGACCACATTCAGGACATGTTCACAGAAGTATACCAAGACTAGAAGAACTGATGAGACTGACTCCATACTATAAACCACCTATGAAAGCCTTTAAAGTGAGCTGCCTAGGAAACAGCTAGATCCTGTATCTCATGTTACCCATCTATTACCAGAGAATATGAAAGATTTAACATGCAAATAGGCAGATATTATCCCTAATTTATGGCACAGATGGGCAATTTACAGTCGTGGGGGGGAGAGGGAAGAGAAGAGCACTGTAGTCTAGTGTACTAGACACGTGCCTGGAAATCAGATGTGGATTCTCAGCCTAGAAGATCAGTTTCCTGGATGAACTTGGACATATCACTTTAACCACTCTATGCTTGGGATCTGCTTACGTGTAATAAGAAGGTACTTGATATATGACTACTTCAATGAGATGAAAAAATCTAATCACAACTGGTATGTGGAAATTACTCTGAGATATCTGAATTGTAGTTTGCAAAGAGATTTACATATTTTTTGGTGGTATGAGAGACTTTGTACACGACTGCACCTATACACAAACTCATGTTTACAGTTGAAATTTAGGCTTTTTTCCCTACTGCTATTCATGGCTGCAAATTCTAAAAGCTTTAATGATATATTTAGTATGAAATCATAACGTGTTAACTTTAATAGGAATTTTGCACATGCTTTGAAAGGAAGAATGTACCTTCACGTGTTAGATTGAAATGTTCAGTTTATAACAATGCAGGAAATCTCTATTAATTTGAAAATCTGGCCTTGACCTTCAACTTAGTTCTGACATCTGTCTTTCACAACAGTGGAGTATATTTTTATCCCATGACTAGTCTAACTGCATTACAACAATAGTTTCACCGAGTGCAAAAACTAGAGTTTCTAGTAACTATATCACAAGTATTTACAATTAAGAATACGTACCTAAACCTTTCTGTCCCGGATTCTTTGCAAAGTTGAAAGTAAACTGATAAAAATCCTTAAATCGTCCTGGCTCTTTTAATTCTTGTTCCATTTTAGGAATCTGGGCCTTTAGCTTTTCTATGCTGTCACATCTGTATTTTAAGAAGCAAGTTTTTTGGTGTGTTATTCATTTTGTCAAAATAACATACTAAATTTCTTTTTAAAACTATACCTATTATGGACAATCTTTAGTTACTTTACTACAGAAGAATTACGTAAACTATTTTCAGCAAGTCATTATCTGGTCTGATTATGTAACAATTTCAGCTGCTTTTTTAAAAAAATGTTTCTTCACACAGCCATTTGAAAAAGATGGCTGATAATCAGATTTATTAATCTAGAGCAGTGTTTCTGAAAGTGTTCTGCGGAATCACTCTCAGAAACACATTAACTGGCCGCCCCGGTTTGTTTATTTACCGGTGCCGCGGCCACGGAGCCCAGCCCACGCTGCTTCCCGCAGCCCCCCCCTTGTCTGCAAAGGACGAAATGGAGCCAATGGGAGCCGCGAGGCTACGTGGCCACAGCGCCGGTAAATAAACAAACTGGGGCGGCCAGTTAATGTGTTTCTGAGAGTGATTCCGCAGAACACTTTCAGAAACACTGATCTAGAGAATCTACAAGTCTATCAGGAAATTCCTAGAAAACATGCAGGGCAAAGAAATTACATTCTTAAATAAATAGCCCCAAGTATTCTGGCCTTTGAGTCAAATCCTTCTTTTACTCACTTGGTTTTTTTGGTAACTGATAGAACTATTTGCCTGTTTAAAGCAAGGAGCATTTTGCTCTTTACTTGGGTACACTTATAACTTCTGCCACATTTAGAGAAGATAGATTTCTATTCATAAAACGCAGGTACACACATTTTAAGAAGTCATAATTCAATTCTGAATTGCTCATTTTTTTATTTTTTTAGTTTCAGTTTTCTCCCGTGTGTTATGCTGCTAAGTTTCTTTTACCTGTTGCATACTTACCCTAATTCTGTCATCCCATCCATGAATTCCAGCTTCGAGAATTCACACTGTGTTGCAGCTCTGAATTTCCATGCAATGATCAGTACACTAATGCTGGCTGGGTCAAGTGCTAGGTCATCACAAAATTGCTGTATACCATCTATGCCAATTTTATTTTCATCTTGAGGATCTTTGGAATACAATAATAAAGATTAAAAACAAACATTAAATCCTCCACACTTCTGAAGTAGTATGCTCCTTCACACATGAATTAACATATTATCATGAAAACATATACATGCACAAAATGATCTCTGGAATAAGCCATATTAAAAGGGGACACTTTTTAAACACATATACTTCAGATTCAATTTGTAAGAAAACATTAAGGCTCGTGGAATGAAAGCTTTGTATGGTGAAATCCTCTCAGTATGACCTTAATAGCAATAGCATTGGTAGTGTTCCATGTTTGCAATTTTTACTGATTTTCACTAATAAATTGCCAGAAGATTTTTTTAGTAAAGGAGTTCAGTTTTTACTGATTTACAACCATTATAAATCCACTTGTTATTTTTGAGTACTTATTTTTGTTAAGTACAAAAGTTTTACGTGATCTGTTGTGTCCTTCAACTTGGAGACTGAAGCAGTTCCACAGTGCAAAACACAGAACATACATTCAGTGGAGGTCAGGAAGATCAGGAAAATCAAGTAATATTAATATTGCACTATATCTGGCTAACAAAGAAGATGCTATTGGCCTAGTTCTTTGCGTCCATTTAGTGTGTGTCTGATTTAAAACAAATAATCCTCTACTGATAAAGATACATGATGCCCCCTATATACTGAGATACTTCCTTTGCTGTCAACCTCCTTACAGAGGTGGATAAAAATCAATGATTAAAAAAAATTAAAAATTGTTTTTATTTTTAAAAAATCAATACTAAATTTCTCATTTAAAAATAATAGTTACAATTAAATCTTATCACCAACATGCTGCACCTACAATCTCATAAAAATGAATTAACGTCTCTTGTCTTTTCAGTCTAACAACCAGCTCTTGCGTCTTGAAAGTTCTAGGCTTTCAGTTTCTGTTTCGCAGCAGACTAATGTATGCAAAGACAGACACAGGCTGGAAAGAATTGTTTTTGTTCTGTGCTTATGTGGTGGTGGACCTGGGCCAGCCACAGCAGAGTTAGGTAACAGTGGTGCGCAACCTGTGGGTCACAACCCCCAATGAGGTCATGGATGTCTTCCTGGGGGGCCGCCAACAGCTGGGCCCAGCCCCCGGCCGCCTGGATCTAAGCGCCATGCCACTTAAATTATCTTGGGGGGGAGGGGGTCGCAACACGAGTATATGGGGATCATGATTGAAAAAAGGCTGCACACCACTGAGTTAAGACATAATCTAAAGACAAAGAGAAAATATACAGGAAAAGACGGAGGAAAACCAGGAAAAACAGTGGAGTGTACTGGAAAGAAAAAAGGAAAACATCCTTTAGCACACACATAGCTTTCTATATTTCTCTATACTTTTGCCACAAAAAAAACAAACAAAAACAAACAAAACAAAAACAAATCACCTGTCCTGGTTTCTAAATTTAAGAGACCCTATCAGGGAATATTTTGAAGAAATTTATTCCCTGGGTAAAAAAGGAAAAAATGTCAAGTGTAAGCAGTGCAAGAAAAAAATGCAAGGCTTACCTGAGAGAATGAAAGGAAAACTGCTTATTGGGAGAAAATGATATACATGAAGATGTGACTATACCTGAAGAACAATTTGGATCAACTCTACAATGTATCATTCTTAAAAACTCTATGCCTTTTGTGTGATTTAACAAGTAAATTCCCAAGCTGTTTGCTATGCTGGATGTTGCTAGGAAAAAAAAGTTTCTTAGCTAATCCTTATGGCTTGTTTAATTAACTAGGTTTAGAATCTATCACCCAAGTATGCTGTACAGAAATCTATAAGAAGATAAATCAAGAGTTACCAGTTGCTACTAAGTGTCATTTTCTTATTTATATTACACAACTTATTTTGGAACATCAGGGTCACAGAACATAATGTTGATGCCATCAGTCTATTCTCTATTTTACTTCAGCATAACTCTCAATAGAACCCCATCCTATACTCGTTTTCAATGGGGCTTACTCCAAAATTAAGTGCACTCTAAGCATAATCCGTCTTAGCTTTTTTGGTAACTAGGAATTAGATCTGCATTGAAATGACAGTGGGAGTGGGGAAGATGAGAGCTAATTGTAGAAGTTTTAAGGACACTGTATATTTAGTGTTCTGAGGATCTGTCTGTTAGAGCGAATAACATTTGATTTTTTTTTTTTTTTTTTTTTTTTTAAGGACAGCCAAGAGTCAGCAGCTCAGGAGACTCCTGCAATTGCAAATGTAAAATATCTGTGTAACATTTAAGATTTCGTTTCATAAAATGTAAGTCCTATTGTGTTTGTGTGTATAACTTACCATTCCTAATGTACTGCTGCTACATCTGCAGCTTGACGCAGGTAATGAGTATGAGGGATGTTAAAAGTCATGTAATATGGTAACCATGTATCTGCTAAAAATCTTAGCGGTTACATGCACGTGGGCTTTACAGTGTAAAGCTTAGCCTTCCAGTATAGAAGCACCGCAGCATCGAAGCTTCCTTCCTGGGAGCCAGCAGGCAAGTAGGCAGCCCTTGCCTGCTCAGCTCTAGGGAAGTAGGCTTTGCTGCCTCCTCAAGAGCCAGCTGAGTTTAACCAGGACCATTAACTGGTAAGCACCAGCTTATCGGTTGAACAGTTAATAAATTAAATGCTGACATCCCTAATAAATATTATGTACTATTTTCTAAATTAATATAAATACTTTAACCCCTCCCCCCCCAGCACATATACAAGGTATACCCTCTTAGATACTGGAAAATGCTGTACTGAGCTATAAATTAACATGATTCCATGATTAGATTGGCACTTTTTGGGGAAATGTGAAGATGTAGCAGTGGAAAACTTGATTTAAATCAGTCGGGTTTTTTTGTTGATTTGCATCACGTTTTAAATCAATCCACCCACAAATCTAGTCCTGCCTTTTCTGCGGCTAACAACAAAATGGCTTTTCCCCTACAGGAGGCTCCCATAGAAGACATCTCACTCCCTACTGGTCAGGCTAGCTCTTCTTCCTTGTGTTTCCCTTGTCAGTCATTTTACTCTGCCCGTTCTTCTGAGCAGGCACATCTGCAATCCTTCCCCAAATCAAGAGGCCCCCCTATTTTTCTAAATCAGTGGTGGGCAATCTGCATGGGGCCCATCAGGGTCATAGGTGTGGCTCACAAGATATTTTGTTTACCGTTGTCCACGCACAGGGCTGCCAGATTTGCTGGTTTTCATTGGCACTGTTTTTTTCCTTACCGGTATTACTAAAGTGACATGCACTTAAATAAAGCAAGAGCTCAGGGAGTGAGGTGCATGCCAATTACACACCCTGACTGTGAGAGGTGTGTGTTCCCACTGTATCCAATCAAAGCGCTGCTACGGTTCAATCAGCATACCCCACAAAATCTAGGTACGCAAGTGCAGTTAGCAAAACTGCCCTATCCCGAGAGACCATATTGGTTATGACAATCCTGTGACCCACTGATACAAAGGAAGACCACTCATGCAGTCCACTCACTAGCCTTACCCCTCACTGTTCTAAATAGCGTCTCTCCTCTCTCCATCTTGGCTGTCTAGCATACTCCAAGTCTGCCCTTGGCACCCCCTTCCTACCAGGAACAGTGTGACTCTCTCTGAACTACCAACACACAAAGCCCCACAAACTTGGACAACTTCCTTGGGGATTACAGATAGGCAAGGTAAAAGTAATCATAGTGCAAAACTAATCATAGTGCCAACTGCAGGCAGGGGGAACATCCTGGAAGGCCAGTGGCAGGGAACCTCCCCATATATAGCAAATTCCCTCATTCGGGATGGGTCAGGTCCCAAGGCTGCCGGACAGGGGAGGTCCAACCTTTACAGAAGAAATGAAAGACCTGAAATCTTCCACCATTGGATTCAAGGCTGATTTCAAGTGTGTGAACAATCTGAAGGTTTTGTTTTACAATAGTGTAAGACGAGTGCAGAGTTGGCTGCCAATTAGCTACACCAGTGATGTCATACAGGCGTACGAGCAGGGGTCGACGAATTATGGAAAGCCCTACTCACCAGACAAAAAAGGGACTCACCACCCTCCCCGACAAAAAGTGGTTTTTTAATGGCATAAATTCCTAATAAGAACAAGAACAGTAATTACTAATAAGTTATTAATAAATATCACCCAGGTTATTAATAAATATCTTATAAACCTCTACCTTTTCTTTCTGCTGCCACATCTCCTCCCCTTGCTCCATCAGCTCCCCTGGTGCCTGCAGCCCCCCAACCCCTCATCCTCTGCTCCTGCTCCCGGCCCCCCCCCGCCAGCCCTTCTCTCCGCCCTGTGCCCACTCCTCCAGTAGCCCCACTGATCGTGTTAGCTACCCCTCCTCATCCCCTCTCCTAAAACCTCCCTCTACACACCTGCCCTGCCTCTCTCCTCTGGTGCTGGTTCCTCCACTGCAGGTGTCTGCCCTTCTGCTTCACCCCCAGAATCCCTTGGCACCTGCACCCTCCTGGTGCCTCCCCCTTCCCCTTTTGCTTTCTTTTTTTCTGATCCCCACCCCCTCCCCTGCCCCCATGCCCTCATAGATGCCTTGCTCCATCCCCGCCTTCCTCATGACCACCCCTTCTTTAAAGCCTTCTCCCAGCACCTCCCTCTCCCCCCCTCTAGCCCCCAGTGCCCTTACCCTCTCCTCTCCCAGCATCACCCTGTCCCCCCTCCCACTGACACCTCCCCTCTTGCCCTTTTCCTCATTGTCTGCACTTGGCCCCCTGGTATTTGTCTCTCCTGCACCCCTGTCCCTTGTGCCAGACTAGACCAGCCCCTTCCCCTCCCCCAGGGCCAAGCAAAACATTTCCCCCCCTTTTTTGTTTTTTTACACGTTTGCATTTTGCAATGGGGTGGTTTTTTTTGTTTGTTTTCTTTTTTGTCCCAGCATTTTAGCCCTATAAATAACAAATAACATTTTCATTTTTTTTCCATAAAGGCAAAGGCACTTCAAGTGAACTCCCCCTTTCACTCGCTGCTGGGTCACAGCAGTCTTTTCCCTGCCCTGTCCAGGCCCTCCCTAT